TGTCCAAAGAAAGGCTTCAGGCTTAAATTGGTGAAAACTAGGGATTAATTTCATTTGGTAGGTTTTGAAAGACACAATCGAGGTCAAAGAAGGCCTACAATCCTTTCCCAAACCAAACATAACTCAGAATTTCGCCTCAATAAGCATTCAAGCCAAGTTCTAGATCAACAGTGCAATGCTATTGAATTTCCATCTAAAAGCTCACCACACAATGCACATGAAAGCATGAGATTGGTTTTATTCTTATCTTGAATGCATGCAAGAGAATTTTCAAGCATCACAAAAGTAGAAATGAGAGGTACCAAAAGAGTCTATAGTTTACCACAAAATCAATTCTCTCCATCATACCAAATATATTACATGCTCTTAACTGCATTGGTCCTACCTGAGTTGAAGACATGACTCTTACGATATATACACAACAATTATTTTTAATTTTTTAAAGAATGAATACCGAACCCAAAAAGGGCTGCCTACGTATCTCATTGATATGAGAATCATGTGTGCGTAGTTCATGTAGATATGTCTTTGAAAATATGCAAACTATTTATTTTTTATTTTTTTTGAACTTAAAAGAATGCATACCGAACCCAAGAAGGGTTGCTTACGTATCTCACCGAGATGAGAATCAGTTTCGCGTAGTTAGTTCAAATAAGGCATTAAACAATTCAAAAACTTGGACAAGCTTAGAGTGATAACTCATAAGTATAGTGCCGCTGACATCTTTAGTCAGAGAGTGTATTCTGACTGTTTGCACCAATATGTTTTGCATCCTCTTAACTGTCCATCTTTGTACTGTCTGTTGCATGTGGATTCCGAATTCTGACAGTAACCACTTGTTGTATTCATTTTTGGATGTCTCTTCAAACTGTGTATACTTACAATTATTTACAACAACTATACATCACCATCCCCGACTGTTGTCGAGGACGGTTTTCCTGCAAAAATATAAGAAATGTGTGAAAACAGGGCCAACATGAAAAATACATAACAAAAAATAGATCAGTGCGACCTTATAGTCAAAGACTCCCCTGATTTGTCTTTCGACGGGTTATTATTGTCTTGTGAATCCAAAGACTCATTTTTCGCGAGTTCTCTTGTCCCTTGTCGCACCGGACGAGCAATAACCTTCAAGCTTTCAAAAACAACTCGAAAGGTAAAAGTGACTTGACAGTGACTAGATATTTATGTCTATGAAGCTCTTAAGAAAATTTTGAAATAATGGACTATCATACAATATATTCACGTAAAACAGGTATATCACATAACATATAAACTATGAATGCATGTCTTATACAAATGTGCCTTGAGTGTTGTGTCATCTCAAGCAAATGCGCTAAATACGAGGTTTTGGTTAAGCTCTACACTAGTTGACTAAGAGTGGTTTAGACAAGATTCGGTTACCTGAGTCGGACAAACTACAGGGTGAAGTATAATCAACGACGTTGGCTGATCACAAGCCAACTATTCGTTTATCACTTCAAAAAAATTTGAAGGTGCTTTTCTGAAGGGCAGCCGTGGAAAGCCACGTAACCGCCTTTGTCCTAATGCATTTTATTTGCCATTTGGCGGAAATTATGCCATTAAATGCAATGACAATATACATACAATTAAATGAATTATTAATAAACAACAAGTACAATATACAAATGATCAACAAAATATACAAAATATAATGAATAACACAATAAAAGAATAACTCTTCAATTTGAAAAAATGAACTCAATTATGATTAGAACCTCTATATCCCCAGCAGAGTTTTCATTCTATTTACATCCCTACTTTATTCAAATAGAGAGAAACATCGCGATGACTCAAAAAAATAATCAGTTAATTGAATTTTGAAAGAATTTTAAGAATAAACGAATTTTAAAGGAGTAGCCTCCTAATTTTAGAAAAAAAATAGGAAACCATTAAGTGATCTACGAAACCAAGATTTTAGGTAAGGGGTTCAAGTTATTTCGAAGGGAAGGTGTTAGATATCCTTCGAAATCCACAACTGTGGATCCCGACTGAATTAATTCTTTCAAATTGAGGAAAAGGTAAAAATAGTATACAAATATAACAAACATGCAATATACACAAGTAATAAAGCAAACAAGTAATATGAGAAACGACCTAATATTTGCCCATTGTCAACAATTTACATAATAATGAATATATTATTCAAACTTTATTCGAATGGCTTCGATGAGAAGCGATTTCGAGGTACCTGTAAAGACACTTAGTAAAAGTGTTAGTACTAAATAAATATAAACTAAAAATAAATAAATTAACAATAACTTAAAATAAACATCCGTCTTATTAACATGGGAAGCCTTGGAAATCGACGGTAATTTCTTCATCGGCCATTTTGAACAAACAAAATACATGAACTTAAACTAATTTTCGTCTTTTACAATGTAAAGGCCTACCAAAAACCAACGGAAAGATTTTCTCATTGGCCATTTTAACATACAAAAGATAATATACTAAGATGCAACACCCAAATAATAACAACACAATAGTACAATAATAATAACTAAATAATAACAACCTAGCTATTGACAATTAAAAAATTCAAAAAAAAAACAATATGCGATCAATCAGTGGAGAGCCTTCATGATAAAATAAGATCAATAATGGATAAATAAAACAAATAATAATAATAATAGCAAAGTACTGCAACTTCCTATCTAATATTGTGAAAAAATAAAATAAACAATAAAATCAAAACATATCATTAATGACTATGAAAATGATTTAATTAACTACAAAATAAAAACTGATTTAATTAATTACTAAATAAAATACAATTAATGAAAAGTATATAACTCGGCCACTGGACAATAAAACTATCAAACCAATAATTCAAAACACTTATAATAATAACGACAACAACAACAACAACAATAATAATAATAATAATATGAACTAACATAGCTGCTGAAAATTAGAAAAAAATATATAATTAACTCCAAACAAAAAATCACAAATAGCTAAACATAAATGTCAATAGAATAATATTAAAACAAACACATAAATTAATGTAATACTAGATAACTAGATCAAATGCACAATAAATAAATAAAAAATAATAATAATAAAAATAAATAAATAAATAAAAAATGAATGTCAACCTTATCTCAAATAATAGACAAATAATGCTAACTTTTCTAAAGTAATGCACAATAAATAATATAAAATAATAATTAAATACTCAATATTCATCAGATAAAGCAAATAGATTAAAGTAATAACTTAACACTAGTCGCTCAATTTATCACAAAAAATAAAATAAACCAAGAACGCAAAAAAAAAAACAGTAGCATAAATACATGCCTTAAATTAAAACAAACCACAGTAATTATAATAATGGCAAAACAAACTTCATCTTCAAAAATCAACATGGAATAGCGATTCAAAGAGGAAAAAATAGATCTGAGTTACCGTTGAGGTCTCTCAAACCTGTAGTAGCTCGGAGCTTGCCGGAGTTGTTCGGCTATTGTTGTTGGTCGGAGTTCCAACGTCAGTTTGGGAAAGCCATTTGATATTGCTGGTTGTAGCTATGGAGTCATTGACTCTTGATTCACCGGCTTTGGAGCTCATAGCTCACTAGAGATGGTTTGTGGCTGCCAGAAAAGAGAACGGAGGCAGTATTTGGGGTCTGTTGTTGTTTTCTCCGTTTGACGCTTGATGTATGAAAAGTCTGTTTATGGTTCCCTGTTTGTCTTTCCCAGTGAGCTTGATCTCAATTCGAGGGTGAAAGGAGTAGAGGGAGAAGGGTGTTGTTTTTGGTGCCTGTTTTGCCGGAAATGGTGACGGGAAAGGAAGGGGGATTTGTGATCGGTGGTGACCGTTTGGTTGCCAGAAAAATGGAGGTGTGGGTGGTGGTTGGAAAATTTTTAATAAGGAAAAAATTAAGGTTTCTATATATTTGAAAATTGTTTCTCTCAATGCCCAAAATATTATCCACCACCCCCTATTTTTTAACCTAACCACAATTTATATAGGAAACAATTGTTAAATGGACTCAATTTGTGGGCTTGGGATTGTGGCCCAAAATTATCGATCAAATAAAATATTTGTATTTGAATGAATTTCTAGATTGTGCAAAATATCAGAATGAATATTAATAAATCTAACAAATAAAATCAATAATAAAATAAAATAATGAACGTAACTAATGACATAGTAAAAATGCTAAATTTTAAAAATTAACTGAATAAAAAATCCTTAAATTTTGATAAATAAGGATAGTAATCGATAAACTTATTAAAAAAATTATTTTGAACTATTAAATAAATAAAACTTAAAAATTACGAATTTTGAAAATGTTGGCCAAAATTGGGTGTCAACAAACATTATTAAAGATGGAATAAGATGAATAGTTAGCCACCACACTTCGATTCTTAAATGATGAATTCACCTACAAAATCATATTTTTTTTGTTATTTTTCTTTACACTATATTTTCCTTAATTTCTCACAACGAAGTCTCATTTACTGTCTAAAACATGAATTATCCAATATTAAATTATCATCGTCTCATGAATTTTCATTAATAAATATTAGTACTACTTAGAAGTTGATTTCTTATTTGTTTGGATGCTGAAAAACAAGTGGTATTGTTGGTGTTTCTTATTTGTTTGGATGCTGGAAAACAAGTGGTATTGTTGTTGTTTCTTATTTGTTTGGATGCTGGAAAACAAATGGAATTGTTGCTAATTAGTGCCATAAAGTAGGTAATGGATTATGGTGATACAAATTTCAGAGCTGCAAATTCTTTAATTATATTTATGTTAACTTTTAAGAACACATATTGCACTTAAAAAATTTCAAAATGGCATTGAATGTGCTGATATTCTCTTCTAGTATGCAAATGGTGTTTAAATGCCCTAAAGAAGAAGATTCACTGCACATCACAACACCAAAAAGAAGCAAATACTAACAAGACCAAATGTTAAACCATTAATCTAAATAGAGAAACAAGTATTCACTTTAAGATATTACACCAAAAAAATGCAGATTCACTGCACACCAACACCAAAAACTATCAAACACAAAACAAGTTCTAGTGTCAACTGTCAACAAGACAAGTTACACCATCCAACCAAATGCACATCCACATTTTAGTGGTCAACTATCACCAAGACAAATGTGAATTTTAAAAAGAACCACCAAAACATTTTCTAAGGTAATATTCCAAGTGCATTCAAGCAAAACACTAAGTACAATTCCTAGTCTTTAAAAGTTAACATCATTGTCATCATTATCTGGAATTCCTTGTCCCTTTCTAACCATCATCTTCAATCTCTTTTTTTTCCCTTCATTTTGTAGCTGATGAAGTGTAGTTGCTGCCCTACCTTTCCAAATAGTTTTAGTTGGTGAATAAGACAAATTTATTGGTAGTGACACTCCACTAGCATCTCCAGTAAATCTAATTCTCCTTGATCCAATTGTCGGCTTAGGTTTTTTCTTTCTCTCTTCCAGCCTTGTGACTTCATAAACAACCATTGGCCTAAGTGATAAGTCTTCTTCAGTATCGACTTCAGGACCATAAGGTTGTGTGGTTGAATAAACTGATTGTTGTGTCTCCACTTCAGTTTGAAACTCTATTTCTGCTTCATCATTTGTGCCACCTGAATGATGTATCCTTGGAGTTGAGGTTGTATCATTGCATTTCTTTTTACAATTTCTTGAACTAGAACTAGCTCCTTGAGTATTGTCCTATCAGCAAAGGAAAACATATTACTTTAGTTCAGGCCGTTACAATATAGTTAAGTTACAAATTAGATGCTTACATTATAACAGCCCCTTGCATTATGGTTAGGTTCACCACATTTTTTACAATGCATGGTTGATCCCTTCTTGGATTGACTCCACTCTCCCTTCCTTTTCCCTGCTTCATCTGGTACTCTATCTCTTTTAAGTTTAGGCATGCCTATAGTCTTCACAGCTTCTGGTGGTTCCATGGCTTGGGCTGGATCGACTTTCTAAAATTTAACTCCCCTAACATGTTGTATTTTGTTCTTGTAAGTTAGCAAATAAGCCTCCTTACAATAATATCAGTGTATTTGTGTTCCTGGTTCAACCTTAAAAGCCAACAAGATAAAAATGAATTAAAAATTAAAATAAGTAAATGAAGACAACAAGTTGAAAAGGCTAAAATTGAGGATAAAATACCTTATCATACAACATGGCCTTGATAGCATGGAGGGATGGTATTCCCGATAAGTCCCAAGCCCTACATGTGCATCTTTTATCCTTCAGATTAATTGTATGTCTATCATCACCTTCTGTGACTTCGTAACTAAAGTCACCATTGAACTCAACCTTGCATCCATGAGCAATTTCCCTATAAACATTGTATAGCTTCATGTACGGTGGACTGAAATCTCCTTTCCAACTCCTAACTTTTGCTTCATTAGAAACCAACCTTCTCATAACCTTAGCAAATTTCTTATTAGAAGCCTATTTGACTAGACAGGTCTCCTTTACCGGGGGGTTCCCACAGAGAAGTCTTGCTCTGGCTTGCCAAAAGCGTTTAATATTGAGAATGTTGAATGTATTACACACTGGTGGAATTGCGTAATAAGGCTTTTAACTAGCTTAGTGATTCACCCTTATTTCTTCCAACATTTTGATGATAGGTGTATGCCTTGCTTCCAGAATCCATGCATTAAATGACTCAGTGAAATTATTGTCAACCATGATATATTTACAATGAGTATCAAAGTACGCCCGACACCAAGTTTGAGGTTTATATTTCACCAAGTCTTTAGTAGCTTCTTCATCTATGTCTCCTAATTTTCTCAATTGATCTTCAAAGTCTTTAACATATGTGGTCCATGCACACCACCACATAAGTTTCTTGGCTTGTCCACTCCTCTACTTTTTACACCAATTAGCCTCAATATGCCTTACACAATATTTGTACTTAGCTTTAGGAAACACACTCTTCTTAGCATCAACTAACCCCTATGAAATAAAAAAACAGTCAACATCATTATTAGTTTTAAAATTGAAAACAAACAACAATATATTTGTTTAGCTCTAGGATGACAATTTTGATTATCAATTAAAACATAAGGAAAAGATGTAAGTTTTACCTTTTGCATATGTGAGATGAATGTCACTCCATGTCCATTTTTAAGATTCAAAGAACACTTCAAAAGCTCCAAAAGCCATTTCCATGTCCTGCTTGTCTCCTTATCTACCACTGTCCATGCAATAGGATAAAATTGGTTCATACAATCTTGACCCGTAGCAACTAATAGTTGCCCCTTATATCTTTCCTTAAAAAAATTACCATCCAGCCTAATAAGTGGTTTCAAACCACTTTTCCATCCATCCTTCAATGCTTGAAACAAATGTACATCCTTAAGAACTTCCTCTTACCTTGTAAAAGAGCTTCTTTTGATATATTGATAACAACACTGTTGACACCCAATTTTGAACCTCCACAATATAAATTAATCATCGAGTTTCTTCAATTTCAAACGATCTGGAATAGTTAGTTTTTATAAAAAATTAAAAATGCTTTTCAGGCTATTTTAAAGCAATTTTAGTCATTTCTATAATTTTTAAATAATAAATATGTTTTTATATAATTAGTATATTTTATAAATATTTGAAAATCATTCCAAAAGGTTTGACATTTTTTAGGTAATTATTTTATTAATTCACTCTAGTTTATGTTATGATTATAATTTTAAATTATTTAGTTCGTAGTTAAGTTAATTATTTTATTTTCGTTAAAATTAAGACGCTCGTTAATTAAATAATATTAATTCATTTTATTTAAATTTTAGTCGAATTTGCTAATCAAACTCAATTTGATTATGTTCTAAATTCATTTGGCTATAATTTTAATCCATGGGCCAAATCCTCAATTCAAAATTTAACCAATTCACCCAATCCTTCATGAGACCAAGTTTGGGCCCTTCTTAAATTTTCAGCAATCCCAGGCCCCATCCCAAATTCCTTCTCACTTCACTAACCCATCCCTTTTCCCCTATAGACCCGGCCCAACTCTTCTTCAACAAAGAAACCCAATTCAATCAAAACAATACATACAACATACGTACAACAATTAGCAGCTGTGACCCCACCTGCGTTCTCCTTCTTCTTCAGCAAAGCAGTCCAAAATGTCAAAGCAGCAGCGGCTGGAACGACAAAATCCACGGAAAAGAGCAGGCGTTTGCCCTCACCAAACCGTTCCAGCCCTGCCAACCGCGTCCCATCGACCTTGTGGCTACAAGATGGCGCCACGTCGACCGAAAGGGCGGTGGGTTTGATCGAAGTCGTCCACGCTGATCCGTTCGTCCAGATTTCGTGGGATTTGGCTGAAATCTTGTACAACGAGCAGCTCCTTGGCCCTTGAAAATTTGAATTTGGGGAATTGATTTTCTAATTCCTATCCTACCCTTTCCCCCAATTCCGAACCCCAATTCCCTTTCTATAAATACCCTTTTCTTGTTCTCGATTAAGGGGGGAGAAAATATTAAGAGTTAGCTAAGTGTTGAGAGGAAGAAATATATTTAAACCAATTTTTTTTGAAGTTTCTCGGAGTTGTGTTTCGGTGTGAAAATTGCTGATCATCCCTACTCGTTCCCGTTTCTAGTCTCGCTGCTTAAAAAAGGGTAAAATCCTCTTTCTCTTGATATTTCAATTCGTAGTTGGTTAGTTATTGAGTTGGAATTTTGTTTCAAGTCATTCTGTTTGTTTTTGCTATGAAAACTAGTAGATGTATATTGTGTTTTTCTTTAGTGTAAGTTTTGATCTTTGTTGCTTATTGTTATTCATCACGTAAGATAACTTCTTTGAAAGGTAAATAATACTGAAAGTTTGAGTTTTAGATACAAATAGTTATCGCTCTGTCGATTTGGAATCATGTTTCTTGCTCCTTGAATGGACAAAATGTGAATGCTTAGACAAATCATTGTTAGTCTCATCTCTGTGCGAACTGCATCTTGTATGAAAATTGTTCCTCTCTTTTCAACTCTCATCGATAGCTTAGTTTGAGACATTTTCCATGATTATTTTGCATTTAACCTCCTAGTCTAATTTTCCTTGTTTAGCCTAAGTTCAATTAGCTTCTTGGTCGTTACATGTGTCCTTCTTAATTGGTAAATTCGTGATTTGCTCAAATGTTATTCTTGCTTTAGCTCTGGTCAGTCAACTGTAGCTATTAAGGCTTGACATGGTTTCTTCTCCCTGCTTCATTATGCTTATGCATATTGTTCTCTGTTAGTGTTCTTTTCTCATATGTCCATATACTTAGCATGTGTGAGCTCATTTTTAATTAAGGCTAGATAATGACTAGTTAGTTCTAACTTGGTTACTTCTCTCCTAATGATCTTGGTTGGAATGTTAAGAATATTAGTTGGGTTTTAAGTTTGATTAGTTTTGATTTTAGGTGTATTGTTGCTTGCTGTCATATATCTTTGTGAGTAATAATTTGTCAAGACAAATTGAAATTGTTCCCTATCATAGGCTTAATAACGTAGGAATTATCTTGGTTCTTTTATGATGTGTGATACTTGAAACATTAGCACATGGGTTCCTCCTTTTACTTGATTTTTTTTTAGTCAATAGGTTTGTTATTTATATATTTTCTATTTATTTACGTTGCATGTAAACTCCCTTGGGTGGAGTCCAATTTGGACTCGAATGTCTCCGAACTTGCATTTCGAATAGGCCACGGAGGCCAAAATCCTTTCTCCTCCTGTTAGTCTCGCTCATCAGGATACAAGAAGATAAAGGGAAGCTGAAACAGGTCTAAATGAAGCTGTTACAAGTTTCGGAAAGCAGAAAAAAGGGTTGTATACATCAGATATACACTCGTATACAATAACTGTATACCAAAAACGAGATTGAGCCAAAAGCCCAAATCAGCAAAGAGTTCGGCCCCAAAAAAAGGGGCCCAAATTCATTTCCCCTTTGCCTTTAAATTATTTTATTGTCTTTATTTATTGTTTGTTTTCTTATCATTAACTTTAACTTTATAATTGTGATTTAGCTTAATTAGATTCCCCAAAAGATGAGTTATTTTCTTTGTGTTGGTTTAATTTTAATACATTTTGTTTTGTGTTCATTTATTTTATTAATTAAGTATATTGATCAAAATTTTATATCTTCAATTAAGTTAAACATTTGGTTCTTAAAAAGAGATGTTCTTTAATGCTTTTCACTTAATCACATTTTATTCATTTTAAAATTGTTTTTTTTAAGTTAAAGTATTTTTCTCAAATAAACTTTAAAAATGTTCGTCAAAACCTTTTCAATTAATTAAAATAAAATATACTTACTTAGTCATTTTCTCAAAAAGGGTTAGTCAATTAATTTAAAATGAAGTTCATGCTTTAATTTATTAAATTGGTTTAAATTATTATTTCAAAATGAATTAAATAAATTTTAATTAATCTAGTTTTATTAATATTCTAATCACTTGTATTTCGAGTCAAATGTTACATTTTGGACCCCTTTCTCTAAAAAAATAAAAATGAAATAAAATGCGTCATTTATTTGACTATTTTTCTCAAAGTTAACCAAATATTGTAAATTATTATTCTTATGTTAAATCTTTTTTTTTTAAAATAGTCAAAATATATTTTAGTCAAGTCGCAGGTCAACCGCATGTTAGCGGACACTTCGAATGCTTAAACCCTTCTCGAAGTGTAAATTGAACCCCGAACCCTCTTTGGTATTTTCAAATGATTTTTTTCTGTTTAAATATTTGAAAATTATAAGTTTTCTTAATTTCTTTAAAAAATTAAGTGGCAACTTTTTTTTTAAGTATTTTTTCTCAAATTGTTTTATACTTAGAACATTTCAAAAAAAGTGATTTTTCTAAAGATAGGAAAATTACGGCACAACAAACATCACTTCCCAGATTAGAAGTTCTAAGTTCTTGTCCATATGCTTCAAGTTTGTTATAGTCATCAAGAAAACTCCTTTCTAGCTTTTCAAGAGCCAACCTCTTAGCTTAACCTTAGATGTAGACACATTCATGTTAAAATAGTCTCTAACTCTTCACGCATGTCTTTTGCCTTAAATTGAGGATTATACTGAACTTTTCTCTTGAATAAATGTGCTAGTGTGTTAGCATTAGCCCTCAGATTTTTATAACTAATCACATGTATGTACTGAATTCAATGTTTTGATGGAACAAGTACTACTTTTCTTATCCTTTGATACTAAAACTGTGAAGGGGCAGCCTTCAACACATTTATACCCGGCCATAGTTGTATCGATTTTCTTCACCCTTAGTCCATAACGATTGGCCATTGCATAGAAGCTTATTACCCTTCTAGCTTCCGGGATATCCTTAAATGTTTGCCCTTTCTCCAAAACTTTATAATTCTCCAAAGTATCAGTCACAACTCACACCCCTTCTTTTTTCTTGGCTAAAGACCTCAAGTTCTTCCTCATTATAATCA